TATCTATCTATCTATCTATCTATCTATCTATCTATCTATCTATCTATCATCTATCTATATAGAATACATCTCTTATTAAAAATGACATTGCTGCTATCAAAGAAGGATTTGAAAAGAAATGAAAGTTTCTTTTTGACTTTTGGCAATTGGATGAAGGGGAAGGTAAAGATCTTATGCTTATCCAAAATATTATCCTAAACAGAAAAACACTTGAGCTACATACTGTACGAGTGGAAAGATATTTACTGAAAAAGGGTGCGCAAAATGTTTTCATTCAAACTGTTACCAATCTGAAATGCCACATTTTGAGATCAAAACAGTTATTTTACAGTTGAAGGGGTCTGTTTGAACCATTATAGTAGTGTTTTAATTTCAAAATAGGGATCCGAACTCAAAATACAAGTCCATTTCTCAAAATGCTTGCCAAGAAAACTGCAGGGATTTGTCAAGGCAGACACCAGGAATAAACCTGACTCAAAGGCATGTGCGCACTCACTCACACACACACACACACACATTAGGTACTGCTAGATATAATGACTGAGTGATTACAGGCACCATCACGTGTTGCCTCTTGCAACCTTGCTTACCTCCAGGTCATAGAGATATCTGAAGTTGCTCTGTTGGTTAGCAGCTCTCCTTACAGCTTCAGCCAATTCCATAGCTCCTCTGCCGCCCTCTGACCAGTGCCGGCAAGGGACCGCATCAAAAGCTCCAGACTGTTTGGCTATCTCACAGACTAAATTAATCTCAGCAGGCGAGTCGGTTCTGCCAACAAAAGAGTTCTGCATTAGTTCATTTGCAATGGTATTCATTAATTATAGGCAGGGTTGGTTTAAGGAATTTGGGGTTTCAATGCAACATCAGGTTTAGAGCCAAACCTAGAGTAATATCACAGGTGGACTCCTGCAGAATGGTGGAGGAGGAGGAAGGACAGTGTACTTTAGAGGGAATAGACTGTTCTGCTGTCAGCACCATTCACCATGCAGGAAAACTCCGCTTAGCCTCTGGGTGGGCCTGTCTACCTTAAAGCCCAGCTACATGGACAGGCAGTTGTACCCTCTTCATTTTTATGCATGTAACTCAGATGCCTATAGCTTGCTTTTGCCTGCTATTCTGCTTGAAAGGAACCATTTTCTGGACTAGCTCCATATGCTATGATCCCTTTAAAAGGACCCTGCTCACATACAAGTACTCCTCGACTTCCGACCACAATTGAGCCCGGAATTTATGTTGCTAAGTAAGAAAATTGTTAAGTGAGTTTTGCCCCATTTTACAACTTTTTTGCTACATTTGTTAAGTGAATCACTAGAGCTGTTAAATTAGTCACATGCTTGTTAAATGAACCTGGCTTCCCCATTGACTTTGCATATCAAAAGGTCGGAAAACATGATCCAATGACCCCAGGACACTGCAACAGTCATAAATATGAATCAGTTGTTAAGCATCTGAAAGTAAATCACACGACCATGGGGATGCTGCAATGGTCACAAGTGTGAAAAATGTTCATAAGTCACTTTTATCAGTGCTGTTGTACCTTTGAACAGTCAGTAAATGAACAGTTGTAAATAGAGGATTACCAGTATACTTAAACCAGGCTGGAATATGGATGACAACAGTAGATTTGGGAAGATTAATTCTATTAATAAATGTCATTGGATACTTACGCATACAAACCTTTTTAATGCCATGACAGGTAAGGAAACCCAGTAAGAGCAAAATAATTTATACACACACACGATGAGCTCAAATATCTACCAATACCTACAAATTAATCATAGCAACAGATACTGGTTTGCTGAAAAGGTCAGGAGCTGTTTTTTTCCTCTTTTCCCTCACCCTCCATCTCACTCATTGTGTAATCTGAGCATCCAATTCCTAGTAATTTTCCTGTTCCTCCTAATTGATTAAGAATTAATAGCATATAGCTCAATAGTAGTAACTGTGAGATGGATCTTGGAATCGTAGTGGACAACCATTTAAATATGAGCCAGCAGTGTGCAGCAGCTGCCAAAAAAGCCAACACAGTTCTAGGCTGCATAAACAAAGGGATAGAATCAAGATCATGTGATGTGTTAATACCACTTTATAATGCCTTGGTAAGCCACACTTGGAATACTGCGTTCAGTTCTGGTTGCCACGATGTAGAAAAGATGTGGAGGCTCTTGAAAGTGTGCAGAGAAGAGCAACAAAGATGATTAGGGGACTGGAAGCTAAAACATATGAAGAACGGTTGTAGGAACTGGGTATATCTAGTTTAATGAAAAGAAGGACTAGGGGAGACATGATAGCAGTGTTCCAATATCTAAATGGCTGCCACAAAAAAGAGCGAGCCCAGATATTCTCCAAAGCATCTTAGGGCAGGACAAGAAGCAATGGGTGGAAACTAATCAAGGAGAGAAGCAACTTAGAACTAAGGAGAAATTTCCTGACAGTTAGAACAATTCATCAGTGGAACAACTTCCTCCAGAAGCTGTAAATGCTCCAACACTGGCAGTTTTTAAGAAGAGGTTGGATAACCATTTGTCTGAATGGTGTTTCCTGCTTAAGCAAGGGTTTCGACTAGAAGACCTCCTAGATAACTTCCAGCTCTGCTCTGCTGTACTCTACTCTACGGCTTTAATGATGGGAAATGTGGAAGGAAAAATCAAACCAGGATGGCCAGCAGCAAGATGAGTGGATTCAGTTACAGTGAAGATAGTGCACTACTGGAAGAGGTGAAGCTTAGGGACAAGATCATACTGGAGAAAAAAATCTATTTTTATGGTCACTAAGAGTTAACACTGACTTAATGGTATATAACTGTAGAGAGAATAAAGAATAGCCTTGAAGGACTGTAGAAAGAGCTGCTATCAAGGCAATGATCAGGTAAGAGAAGTTTCAGCCTGGGCCAAAAAAATAATGTGAGAAAATAGAGGCCATCTCACAGAATAAATTAATTTCAGCAAGAAAGTCCATTCTGCCCACAAAATATTTATTGGATTATTTCATTTGTGATAGTATTCATTGATCATAGGCAGAATGAGGTAGGAGGAAGCACAGTCAGAATAAAAATAAGTATGAACTATATGGTATTGTTTTTTAAATCTGGTCTAACTTGTTGGGCTGACATCAATCAATCAATCAATCTCTCTAATTAAAATGTTACATTCAGTGCTTTAAAATTGGAAGTGATAATGCTATTCAAATTTATTAGGAAAGAATACACTCTAATACGAAGGTGTTCCCTTTTCTCATATCCTCTATATGACTGGTTGCCATAATTACTTCTTTATGAGACAGACATACTCATATCATATCAGGTCAATTTTAACTTTTCCCCCCCATAGACCTATCCCCAGGACTGGATATAACTCATGTCTGGCACAAATTAAGATCTAAATTGTTGCTTACAGGGTGGGACTTCTTGCCTCAAGTATCATATAGCTTTAAATAGAATTACTGGAATTTCCACTTTTATTGCCATTATTATTGCATAAATTCAGCATGATTTTCATCAGTTTTTAAAAAGGAAAATTCTCTATACATTTTGGTGTTACTAATATTAGTATATTATTATCCTAATTATTATTCAGATATTATTAATAATTATTATTAGTATATTATTATCTTAATAATAAGAACTATGTCTCAACACAAGAGACATCCTGCATTTGGACAACTATTCTGTACTTTAGAAGATTATCAACACCTGTATAATCAAAAATAACTTGTAAAACTGGTATTTGATTGGATGCATTCAACAGATGGCTGGATGAAAGAGCTACATCTACTCAAGTCTGAATTCCAAAAATTTGTATAGTCAAACCAAGCAGAAGGACAGCATGTTTAATTATTTTGTAGGAAATTCAGAACAAGATAATTGCATAGTCTATGATGTTGGAGGCAATATCTTCAGACTTGAAAAAACATAAATGTTCCATTTCTTTCTACAAATTGAATAGTTAATAAACATTCACTAATAGCAAAGAACAGCTTTACGAAAAATGAAAGCAGAATGCGAAGAAGAATGCAGTCCCAATCGCTTCATTCCCTTCAAGACTGCTTTCAGGTTTTTTAAAACATGGGGAAATTCTAAACAAATAATTTAGATAGATAGGTTGTCCCTTTTCCAGAAATGATTTTTAATTTAAACTGCAGGGTATCATTAAACAAATGACAAATGTAAGAAAATAAAGAATGTAAAAAAGGACTGATGATCAACATATGACAGTTTCAGTATACTTCTCATATTACGGTTGAAATAAATGTAAAAATTTCAGGATGTATGTATGCAAGGGGGAGGGGCAGTGGTGGGATTCAATTTTTTTTACCACCAGTTCTGTGGGCATGGCTTGGTGGGTGGGCTTGGTGGACGTGGCAGGGGAAGGATACCGTAAAATCTCCATTCCCACCCCACTCCAGAAGAAAGATACTGTAAAATCTCCATTCCCTCCACACTCCAGGGGAAGGTTACTGCAAAATCTTCATTTTCTCCCGATCAGCTGAGACTCGGGAGGCAGAGAATAGATGGGGGCAGGGCCAGTCAGAGGTGGTATTTATCGGTTCTCCGAACTACTCAAAATTTCTGCTACCGGTTCTCCAGAACTGGCCAGAAACCGCTGAATACCACCTCTGGAGAGGGGAAAAGAAAGGGCATGGGCAAGAGACTAAAAGTCACAATATGTTCACCGTACCATGCCTTATCTACTTGCATCAGGTTTAGAATGTAATGATGGTCCCTGCTCAATGATGTCACTGCACTTGAGTTTGATATAACTGAATTATGCTGAGGATGCCATTGGTCTCAAGAAAGCAGAGGAAGTTGAAAACAGATTTACTTTAAAAATCCTATTCCACAGTGTCTACTTTATAATGGTCAACATTGGCTAGAACTTTGAATGTTACATATATTTGCAAAAAAAAATCATGAGTGAAACGTAGAACCGTCTATTGTCAAATCTGTTGCTTAGACCCATCTGCTGGCTTTCATATCAACATCCCCTCAATTCTTTAATGCTGAAATTATATTTTAATGAGGTAACCCTGCCAGCCTATCTCCAATCCACATACAAATTCTTACAATAGTTAATTAATAAAAATTTTGATTTCAGAAGAAAAAAATAAAAGATAAATATTCACATCTAGTTCACATAAAAAATAATCTCATTTTTTCCCCTTAGGTGTGGAAAAGACAAATTATATTACCTGAAAACATTAAGAGCCAGAACAACAGGAACCCCAAACTGCTGGGTAATTTGAATTTGCTTCAACAAGTTGCTGCAACCATCTGACACTAGCTTGAGATTCTGTATGGGAAATGAAAGAAATGCGCTTATTTATTTCTAATAGAAAAATGTTTTATTGCTGTGCTTTTAATATACAATATGGATCAGCGCAATGAATTCTGTCCACCTACATTAATTCTTACGTCCAAGTACCTTAAACCAGTTTTATGGCTTCTACAGAAATGCCTGTCAAACTCCCTATAAAGAAATGAAAATGTGCTAAGAGGAAAAAAAGGTATGGGAAATTGAACTGAATCGTATATATTAATTATTTTCTTTCCCGTTATGTTGATGGTAATAATTATTTGTTAGATTTATATCTTTCTACCCACTAGAAGTGTGTAGCAGCAACCTTTTGAAGTAGATTGGACTGAGAGGCAATGACTGGCCCGAAGTCACTCAGTTAATTTCCATAGCTGTGGGGATACTTGAAATATGGACTAGAATGTGAAACCTCTTCTATTGAAAACCTTACAAGTCCACTATGGCTGATACATAAAGAAAGTTATATTCACTGATAATATTATAAGTGAATATTATCAGAAATATTCCATAGTTGTAAAAGGCACATTAATATTCTGTTGATGTAGCCTTGCAATAAAAATACCACTAATGGTCCAAGTTTCTGGACTGTCTCCAAAGATAACATCAACCTTGCATGGTTCAGTCTATTCAAACAACTTTTTGTTTTTAAATAAAAATAACCTCAAAATATATTTTTATCTGTTACTTTTCACCTCATGGCAGCCCTACTTGATACCTATTTTTATTGCTGATATGTGTTTTGTGCATGTATGCATTTTATGCATTTTATGCATAATTGCATATTTAATTTTATTTACAACTTTTCTACTTATTTTGATTTTTTGCTGTTTGTTTATGGTTTTGATAATTTTATGATCGTTACTTGGGGTGAGTTTGATTAGGTTTGATGTTTTTTCTTGTTAACGGCTTTATATGGTTGGAAGCTTGCAGTATGTAACTGAACAAAATAATTGAACAAATAAAACAAATATTTCCATTCTTAGCATTGTGAACTGCATTTCCTGGAACTATGAGGAGGGCCTCCATAGGTAACATTGTATGAGTTGGATGGCATTGGGAGAAAAAGATTTTTTAATATATTGGATTAAGCTATTTAGTAACAGCTGTTTGGAGGACACATTTCTAAAAATGGATTTTAAAAGGGACACGAAAAGTTCTCACCTCTTCTGTATATTCTTTCTTAAGCGGTGCACCAGCTATAACCTGAAATTACAAACAAATAATTAAAGAATAGACAAATATTTAGAAACACCTAAAATATGTGATCTTCATGATTTCTAGAATGGAGAAACCTTGCAAAACTTTTATTTGAATATTTATATAAAAACCATTAATGTTTCTTTGTACACATATTTTTAATATGGATTTTAATATGGGGATTTTGGAATAGTGTTTCTCCTCCCCCACCTTTAAATTGATACTATTGTATATCTGACTAAACAAATATCTAATATTTTGCAACTAGATAATACTAGACTCAAGTTCTGAACCTAGTTTTTAAACCTGAAAATAAAGCTATTCCAATACATTAATTTTTAACCAAAGTGTTTTGAAGTTTGAATGCTTAATAATTGACCATATTTTTTGTGCTAGGAAATAAATATTTCTAACCCACTGTTTGCATGGGAACTTGAAGAAAAGAAACAATTGAAGGAGGAAGTCTTAGATCCTTCTTTTTGCCTTGAGAACTACTCCCCTGCTTCCCATCTGTGCTCCAATTCATGTCAGTCATCCTTCCTTCAGATTTCCTATGTGATTAAATCAACTTAAGAAAAATATAGCGGAGCTAGAGAAACCATATGAAAGGAATGTTAAGGAACCTCAGCTCTTGATTATATTATATGAACTTATGTGGTTAGAAGTTTCAGTGGGTACAAAAGCAAATGAGACAAACTACATCCCTTCATTTGCTCATTCACAAAGCCAGACTTTGTAATGGAAAATAAAACAATAAACCATAGCTTCAAACTGTGAATTACAGCCTAATCCTAAGTGTGACTGAGTCTCTAACTCTGTTTACATAAGCTCGTGATGGCAAACCTATGGCACATGTGCCAGAGGTGGCACACAGAGCCCTTCCTGTGGGCATGGCACCATCGCCAGCTGTTCTTCTGGGTTCTGTCATGCATACGTGCACCAGCCAGCTCTCTTCCGGGTTCTGGTGCTCTGGCATGCGCATGCGCGCACACGCTCCAGTTTTGGCACTTAGTGCCGAAAAGGTTAACCATGACTGACATAAGCCCTCTAAAATCAACCTAACAGATTACTACAATGTGTCAATCCAGTTAATAAATTCCAGTTCCCTACTAAGAAATCATGTTCTTGCCAAATCCTAAGTAATCCTATTACTCAAAAACAATTACTAAGAAGTATAAATCTAGTAAACTACACCTGGTAATAATTCAGTGGAAATACAAAAAGAAAAAAGGAAACGAAAGGAAGGTTAAAAAAAAGAAAGAAAACTAATCCTTGGAAGGTGAACTGAAAATGTTCAGGGGAAAACATTTAAGTTATGACTTATTTGTTGGTCAGTTATTTTTCTTGCTTCAACTGAATATCTTATTTAGTGGAAAAATGGTGAAACTAAACTTAAAAAAATTCAATTGTGCAGAAAGAAATGCATTCCTCATACAAACAAAAGGGTTGTCAGGCATAGAATTATTAATATTTTTAAACTGTCTGCAAAAAAGTGAAGAGAGTATAAATAATAAGACTGCATCCCAGAATAATATAATATATTACAGCTGAATGCCACAAGTTGAATGAACTTTATACTTCCCAAAGTGGAAGCAACCAGGCAGATTTGCAAAATATTAATATTTTCAACAGGGAGGAGAGGGAAGAATCAAGAAAAAATAATTTGAATAAAGATTTTAAAATAAGGATGCAAAAACCAAGATTTGTGGTACTTTTTGCATGAAGCTAAAGTATTAAAGTAAAAGATTGCAGTTGGACAAATCTGGGCAAACATTAGAGAGTAGCAGAGTTAGAGTTTTCTGTAATTCTTTGGCATCTTCCAACTTTTTGCAGTTCAGATATAGCTGCTTTAGGAATGAAGAATGAAGGGGTGAATAAAAAAAGTACAAGAGAAGCAAAAATAGAGACAAGGTGTAGATGTAAAGGCAGTGATGGATTATAACCAAAGTAGTTAGCATAAAATCTTGGAACAATTAGTACTTGTAGTTAATCATCAGCATTCGGTGGCATAAACATTTGAAAAACCTTGAGAAAGGGGTGGGGAGGGGATCAAGCTCTAACAAGAAATTAAAATTAAATGAAAGAAAAAAGTTAGGAATCAAAAGATAAAAGCCAGACTGCATGCCTGGATGACAGGCTGAGAGAACAGAAAGTAACACAAGAATTTTGGGAGGGAAGACAGAAAATATAGGTTCTAATATATGTGCCGCAAAGTATTGCTACAAACAAAATTTATTTTTAAAAACAGATAAAGAAACAGGGTGCAATTTATTCAAGTTGAGTACTTTTAAATTCCATACAGTTAATAATTCCCTCCCAATGAATTTAACAGATCAAAGTTCCTACTTTTTGGAATGTACCTATGGTTGGCTTAAATAAGGAAATAATTAAGGAGATATAGGAAACAGACTTAGGAACTAGCAGTGGGTGATAGTTCAAACTGTGGGACCTTGAGCCAGTTATTGCAATTTGAAGGATGAACTTCAAGGGTTAAAAAAAAAGAAAAGTAAAAAAATAGCAAGCAGATTTCATTCCATTTCCTAAACTTCTTAAATCGTATAGAGAGCCTTCCTTTAAATATCTCTATTGTCTCTTGACAATTCAGAGAAAGAGAACTGTTAATTGGCTTGCAGTGCACTAGGAGTCATTTCAACCAGTTCCAAAACTGAAATGTTTATACTTATTTCAAACGATAAGGGGTTTAAAAAATAGGGAGTGCTGAAGATTTATTCTCTGTTTTGTTTGAGAGGTAGAGACACTTACATTTGGCCCCCCTCCATGCATCTTCAAAGCCCTCACTGTAGCCACAAGCACAACCACACTGGGAATCAAGCCAGAAGCTCTACATTTGATGTTGAAGAATTTCTCCATTCCGATATCAGCACCGAAACCGGCTTCAGTTACTATTAGGAATAAAGGTTAATTTAAGTTAGGGTGGATCAGTGAACCCAGGAAATGTTGCTATTTGAGGGCTGCAAACACCTCACCATGAATGACCATGTTTTCACAGGAATAGGCAGTGCTTTCATTTTTAAAGAAGAGTGGGAGATTCTCCCAAGCTAGAAATTTCAATCAATGCCTTAAAAAAAACATTTGTGTTATACACATTTACACAATGCCCACATACCATGTACCCATTCCTAAGGGGGGGAAATGGTCCAACTGTTAAAATTAATGTGTTACTAGAGCAGTTTTGGTATTATACAGTCAAATAATTACTTAGTGCAAATAGTTATTTGTTGTTTACGTCTTAGAGTAAACCCCACTTTTCCTTCAGAAAAATATATATGGATTTTTATTCTCTCTTTCCCTCCCCACCCCTACAACAACAAGGCTGCACAGTGATTTTTTTTTAAAAAAAACCAGACTTTAGCTACAACCTGAAGAAGTACACTCATCATTAAGGCCAGACTATAAAGCTCTTTTGCACAAAGGTTGCTACTTCAGTCCACTTTCACATGTCAGAGGCTTTACAAAATCTTCACACAGTTTGGAAAATCTTCACATGTTCACATGATAAACTGCCTTAAAAGTACCTCTCACACATCAGCTGGAATCTAGTTAAGTTTTCAACAGAATTATTGAAATTAATTCTGGGACTTATTAATACAAGCTTACTGATTTTAATGCATCTGTTCAAAGCAAGGATCTAACCCATTATTGTTTGGTAAAGACTTCATGACATTAGCTCTGAAAAGGTCTTATATTGATCGCTGAGGGCTTGTGGCCAAGAGAGAATCTTACCTATAGCCACATCATGGACTTCTTGTGTGTGACCTGTGTGTGTGTGATCTTTGGGGAGCTTCAAAATTGGCAAAATGGCAGATGAGGCATCACAGTACAAACCCCACCTCTTCTGTACATGTGTCAACTTCAGAATAGGCTGCGATTGCTCTATCTGCCATCTTGCTGATTTTGACTCACCTACCCATCAACCCATACCCATATGCAAAGAATTCTAATCCTCATACACTGCATAATATATAGAAAGCAGTAGGAAGAAACTGTCGTAAAAACAATGTCAGCCTTTTAAGGCAGATCAATTCAGGAAACAGATTACAGGAAAGTTGTTTATTATTGTAAGATATAAGAACAGAATGTTGAAAGTCTGTCAGATTTTCTTTCCACTCCATTTTATACCAAGCAGATTCAAAGCAGTGTTATTTTAAGTTTCTTTCTCATTCTTTCCCAGACTGAGTTTCTGTTTTTTCCTTCCCTATTCCTTCATCAAGATTATATTCTCTTAAAAACAGGCTAATTGATACGGAATAAAAGATATGGTATGGATATGCTATGCCATTAATAAGTGTCACTTATTGTCATACTCAAAACGTAAGTATGAGGATTTCTTTATTTAGTCCATGAAATTTTTATCAATTTTAAAAGAGCAATTATGAAACAAACTAATGCTGCATATACTAAAAGATAAATCAAATATTTGATTTGCATCTCTATTCCTGTATTAATACATCTACTACCTCAATAATGATAAATTTTAAAATGTATGATTAAAAATAGCATGATTAAAATAGCTCTTAACAGCTGAAACCTAATTAAGTAACATGGATCAGACATTGAACCATAGGACTAGTATTCTATATAAGTAAGTAGCTGCCATTATATGATCAAGGAAAATTTGCTTATGGTTCATAAGCAAATGAACTGATATTTACTTATTTTCCGTATATAATTTAAAGAAAACATTATTAATGCACATTTCAAAATACAGTTATTTCCAGAAAACAAACGAATATAAGATTTGGGTAAAAAAAAAAATCCAGACAGCCAATCCACATTTATATCTTTTTATATTATTACCCATTTTCTTGTTTCCTCATTTACTTTATCTCAAATTGGGAAAAACTGAGGTACAAAGCATCAGAAATATTTCATGCAATGAATCTGGGGACTGAAAACATCATAAGTCTGGCCAACACAAAATCAGGAGTACAGACACTCTGACTTGTGGGAGAGGAAGGAAACAGGATGTGGTGTAAAGGCCACTAGGATGGAGGTAACCAACTGCAAAGGAAATAAAACAGAGAGTAAATGTTAAGATAAAGCCATGTGCAAAAGCCATGTGCTTTGACCCTTGTTTGTGCTCAAATATTCAACACAATCACTTTTGTATTATTTCCTGCTGGCAAATCAGAGTGCCAATGAAAACATAACCAGATAGAGGCCAGTAGGACAAAAATGATTCCAACTAGTCTTTGTTTAATAATCATGTAACTCTGGAGGCTAGTTATGTAGATATAACTAAATAAATGTTCTATTTCAAGGCTCTGTGTTTGTATAAAACTCTTCAGGCATTCATACTATGCGTAATTCTACATATAAGGAGAAGAAACCAAAGCAAGCCCATTAGGTCAGCTTGGCTCCCACACTATCCTCTGGTTTCCAAGTGTAGAGTGTAAAATAGAAGGAGTATCCTTTGTGTAAATAAAAATCATAGTTCCAAAAGAAGGATCTTGTGGTCCATAAGAGCTCTCTCTCAATATAAAAAAAGTAACAAGAATGAAAATTACATTTGACTCCTGTCATTGGGTTACCTCAGTTATCAGAAGTCTTTAAGGAAATGCCTTTATTTTTTTCCACTAAAGTAAACAACATATATGAATGCATATAATCCCACTTACACTATCTGGGGAATTTAAAAAAAAAACTCAAGGCATTCCGACAATTCAGAATTTATGACATACATCCCACACACTCTTGGTGCAATTATTAACATGGAACATGCTTTTAGAAAATATTTTTTTACAAACTACTAAATTATAAACTAAAACTCAAAACAAAATACAGACAGGAGAAAGCTGCCACTAAGCTATAGCTTAACACAGTTCTATGAGGTCTGAATCCAATAGTCAACATTAACACTGCAAGGGACCTTTAAAAAAAACAATTTTTGGGGGGAAGGACACAAAATGAAAGAGATAAGAAAATTATCTACTATTAAAATCTCATAAACAGGTAGATTTCAACAAAACAAATCTTTGCACAGTAAGCATTTAGGGTCAACACCAAAAACTAAAACAGCACACTGGAAGAGAGCACTAGAAAATATGCACACTAGGCTAAGTTATAGGACATGGAATAGTGGACGCCAAATTCCAGAACAATGCAAGAGGAAATGGAAATTCTGAATTGCTGGTGGCCATATAATTCTACGATGTAAACATAGCTCTCCTTCTGCAGCTGTCAGCAAGGAAACTATAGAGTTCAAAGTTACAGAAGCACATGAACTTTAACCCCAGGGATTCAAGGCATTTTGGTTGGGAAGCAAGGCTCAGTGTTTCTTGTAAAAGAGCACATTGCTAAACACAACAGCTGCCAAAATAAACCAGGATAGATCAAGATCCATCTGAAAGGATGCCACATTTTTTTGTTAGAACAGTAAGGGTAAATGAACTAGATGTTTTTACAACATGACCCCACATCTCTTCCTAAATGAGCAATTGAGGAATGTGGTAACTCTCAGATCTTTCCACATGTTCCAAATGATTCCATAACTTGCTCTACTCAGTAAATTTCTAATATATTTCAGATGCTTGTGGTCCTATAAGGCAGTGTTTTTCAACCACTGTGCCGTGGCACACTAGTGTGCCGTGACATAGTGTAAGGTGTGCCGTGGGAAAATTACTTTATATATAGTCAATATAGGCACAGAGTTAAATTTTTTTAACATTTTCTAATGGTGGTGTGCCTCGTGATTTTTNGCTTTCATGCCTAATTAACCAGACTTAGCTTAGCTTTGCATCTATTCATTTATAATTAGTAAAAGTACACTTGATTTCAACAAATGGAGTCCGGTGGTTTTCTTTCCTGATTATTGAATGAAGGAAGGCTGACACATATCTTACTAGCACCTCCTGGATGATCTTCTTGCTTCTTGCTTGAAAATAATAAGATTGTTTTGTTTGGGCCTGTCAGCTTCAACGAAGTCTTCCCCATTTGTCTTCAGAACTCCTAGATGGTCCCAGCTTCTTTCTCGCACAGCCTTTGACTAAATGAGAGTTTAGTTTTATTGTGGATGCCTTGACTGTCAGACCTAGATTATTGTGATTGTTACCTGATAGGTGTTTTCAGTATCTTTCTATCTCCCCAAGCTGAGTCCAGAAAAGCATCATTTGACTGGTCCTGACCTTCCAAGTTACTCTCATGCCTCAATACAACACAGGATTCTTCACAGGTTCCGAGTGTGACCTAACGCCCTATTTAAACCAGCAGGGCTTAGGTTTATAGCTGTTCAGCCAGAAAAACTTTCTACTCTTGGGGTATGTCTGCTCTTATTCCTCCCCATAGCATTTTTTCTTTTCTGAAGACGGTCGTCTTCTGATTTTTTTGTATACTATCTTTTGGGTTTTTAACATAAACTAACTAACTTTGAGCTGAGGTGGTTAGAGTGCAGTACTGCAGGCTACTTCTGCTGCTTGCCAGCTGCCATCAGTTTGGCAGATTGAATCTCACCAAGCTCAAGGTTGACTCAGTTGGTAAAATGAGGACCCAGATTGTTGGGGAAAATATGCTGACTCTGTAAACCGCCTAGAGAGGGCTGTAAAGCATTGTGAAGCAGCATATAAGTCTAAGTGCTATTGCTATTGTGTTTTCCTGTAATTATTTAAGTTATATGTAAAGTCTGATTTTGCATAACTTGTGCTATTGATCTGTCTACGAAGGAGTGGATGAAAAGCTGAAATGTCTCTAGTCCAATATCATTGCCATTATTAAAATAATGCCAACCTTTGTATTTGTGACCTAGCAATCAATAGGAAGGCAGTACAAACTCTGAGGGCTCTTCCTCTCTGACACACTGCGGTTAGTGGAAAGATGCTAGATGGGTTTTCTAGACAACTAGTGGCAGCAGGTACTACAACGCTAACCCACACAGGAAGCTAGAACT